GTGTCCCAATGGTGGCTCGCACCTGGCACAGTGCCAGGGGACAGGAGCCCCTGTGTCCTCCCAGGGACATGCGCTTGTGGCTGGCCATGGGCAGGAGGGACGGCAGCACCCGTGGTCCCTGCACCCACCAGCCCATTGTCACGGGTCCCTCTTGGTGCTGGGCTCCCAGGGTGTGTACAGTGCCCAGGCACACGCCAGTGGACCTGGGGCAAGTGACCGCCACCTCGGGGCACCTACCGAGCTGGATGATGACCAGGTTGGGGTGCTTGGAGGCCAAATTCTGTAACTCCTGCAAGAGAGGGGAGTGTGTGGGCGCGGAGAGGCAGGAGGGGCTGCGCAGAGGCTCAGCCTTTACCAGGCAAAGCCCGTGTTGCTCCGGCTCTGTCCCTGCACCACCTGGCACCCAGCACCCTGCTCTGGCTGTCCTGCTCCCTGTGGACGGGGCTCCATGCCTCCCGCACATGCTCCACTGCTTCACAACCCACCCTGCCTCCCACCCTGGCACACCGCGACACAAGCCCTTTTGCCTCAGGCCCTTGAGGAGATGGGAAGCAGCAAGTTGCCACTGTGGTCCCCCAGGAGCCCTGTCCCCTCTGCACAACCCATGCACAGCTTTTTTTGTCCCACAGCCATCCCACCCCGCCTACCCTGTGCCACGGGTGCCGGGCTGCAGCTCCAGCCCTTTGCAAAGCCCCTCCCTGCTCCACCCGGCTGCCCTGGCACCGAGTGCTCCTGTCCCCCAGCACAACCCATCTCACCTGTGCTCGCTGGCCCTTGGGGTCCCGACACGCCGCAAAGACCCTCTTGGGTGGGTTTGGAAGCCCCAGCAAGTGCTGCACCAGCCCCAGGCCGATTCCCCGGTTGGCCCCAGTCACCAGAACGGAGCAGACGCAAAGCTCTCCCATGTCGCTTCTCCTCTCTCTGCTCCAGCTTGCGCTGTTTGCTCAGCTCCTTCGGGCTTCTTTATAGCATGTGCCACGGCCACCCCTCCCACTCCGGGCTTGCACAAGCCTGTGGCTCCAGGCACAACCTCTCCAGCTCTTCGGACTCTGGGACACAGTTCCTGGCTGGGAGCCGGCCCCCATTACCAGGGGGCAAAAGTCACTTGGCTTCTTTGGACAATCTTGTCTCACCTTGCCCCCGTCATCCAGCAGGTAGCGGCCAGCCTGGCCAGGAGAGGCTGCTGTGGGTGCGGAGGGAGGGAGCAGCACGCGGGAGGGATGTTGGTGCCCCATGGCTCAGGTGAGCTTGACAGCTTCACAGGTGTCCTGGGGCTGGACGGGCTTTCCACGCCGTGCTGAGATGTGCCTCAGACGGCCTTCGGCAGATGGTCTCTGCCTTGCTCTTGCCTCTTTCCAGCTGATGCCCTTGCACCGCCTGTCCCATGAACGACCCATGGTGTGGAGCACATCCGGCATGATCTGCCGGCAGAACGAAGCGGACCTGAGTGGCTGCACACCACTCCGCTGCTGGGCCCCGGCTCCATCCCTTGGGGTGGAGTTCTAAGCTGAGCGGTCTCTCTGCCCAGAGCCACAGAGAACTCAGGTGCATGGGACTTTCTCCTGCAAAGAGGAATGCTGTGGTCAAGCCCCCTTCTCCACATTGCCCACAGGTGTGGGGCACAGACAGCTCTGTACGATCACCACTGAAGCCTGGTTCTTTCCCAGATATGTTAAAAATGAATTGAATATATGTATATATCTCTATAGCACGTTCCTTTTCTAATAGTCATATTTACCAAATAGCACTGTCTGGAGGACATTTTTTGCAAGCAGAGGCATGCCACAAATCACAGGGGAAAACCGATTGGTTTTTGCCAGGTTCCTAAGACAGAAATCCACAGTTTCTGCTGTGGTGGTGGTAGAACACCATCACTATGTACCTGTTTGAGAGAGAACTGAATTTTGCACATCCCAGCACAGCATCTCAGCACGAGATATAAATCCCTTTGATAAGCCTTCTCTGCCAGCCGGCTCTGGCACGCACATCTCTCTCCAGCTTGAAGGGGCCTTATAATTCCCCCCGTGCCCTGGAACACACAGGCTGGCGACAGCCTCAGCCTTTTCTCTGCTCCTGTAGAAAGCTTTGTCAGCAGATGTTAATTTCCTCTGAATAAAATTTACCATGTTGTTTGCTCAGTGTAAATCCCAAGATAAAGCCCAGAGGACGGGACAGGAATGCACACAAACACACCGTGCTTTCTGTCACGGCAAAGGAAAAATAACCTTTGTTGGCAGGCGATAGCCAGTATTTCCCCTTCTGGACCCTGTGGAAGATGTTCCCTGCTGATGTATTTGTTTAGTTCCCCTGCTGTTACTCGTACGACTTTGCACACAGGTCCAATGCCAGCACGTTGAGCACCCACACATTTCATTCACTTGGTAGGACCTCATGGCAACCCAGACTGGAGTTCCACCCCTCTCTCTTCTACTGCCTGGACCCTTCTTTCATAGCAATGCCCCTTTTTGTGGCCCTGCGGTTCTTTCTGCACCAGCATCCCAAGATCTGCCCTTGTTCCAATGGCCATCTGGCGCTGTGCTGTCCAGCTTCGACGTGGGATATTCCCCCACGGGAACAGGGCAGCAGCAGTCAGCTCCTGCCCTCCTGTGCATCTGCACCTTGTGTTTGGGATCTTCCCTCTTCCTCAACGCTGCCAAGTCCGGAGTCCTTTCCCGCCTCTCCCAGGGCTCTCTAATCCTTCTTGATACTTCTCAGACAGCTCCTGGCTGTGCCACTGGTGCCCATGGGAAACGACAGCACTGGGTAATGCTCAGCGGGCTGTATGAGGCTCGGTATTCTCTCGGTGACATCCCGATAAGCAGCACACCTCTCTAGAGAGCAGGTCGGGTGGGCAGACGGGTGCCTCGGTACCTCAGAAGAGAGTCACCTGCTGCTGTCACCCATCACCTTTTCTTAGGTGCGCCAGTTGCTGGAGGCGTACGTTTATAATGTTGACTTTGCTCCAAGGCCCCGTGCTGCATTGTTCGGTTCAAAGCAGCACTGCTTCTCCAGGAGTCAGAGTCCAGCCCGGAGGGAAGAGGCCGAGGAGAAAACAGCCAGCCTCTTCACAGCAGTCCCCGAGCCCCGGAAGGGACCTCAGGCAAGCTCCCAGGAAGGGACTGGGATGGTTCTGTGGCTCTGAAACGATCTTGCATGCTCTAAACCTTAGAGTGGAGCATTGAGGTCCTTCTGTACACGCCTCACCCATAACCCTCAGACAGATGGAATTTACATGTGGGTGCGTTCCGTCTCACCGCGTGGAGAAACCTCAGAGATGGTTATCTGAGGCACAGTCACACCTCCTCCAGCTCAGGTGTGCTCACAGCTCAGGTGT